GTGCTAGAGAAGTGAAAGTGAGCTGACAGTTCAAGAAAAGGACAAGAGCCAAAGAAAAATCTAAATTAAGCAGAAAAGAAGTGCCAGAGAAAAAAAGACCAACCCTTCACTTCCTATGGCTGTGAGGTGAGAGCAGGTCTACACGGTGAGCATTTTGCTGTTATTGCTGTATCAGTATATTATACCAGCAAAGCACTCCAAGCGTAGATAGAGTTATTGGCTTAGTCTACCCCCTGCCCCTATATGAAAATACAAAATCACAGTTTTGCCAGTGGAACTGCAACTATATTACAGGATTTTGCTGGCAAAGGTCACAGTACATCTCTCCCATGACTGACTGAAGTACGCTGGCAGATGCTGGTAACTACAGAGTTGGCATGATTTGCTGCTTCCATTTCAATGCACTAAGCCTAATAGCAGTGCACCCAGTGCCTCCATAGCACTCTATGGGGCTTGGTTTTCAAATCTAGTTTTCACTCTTGCACCTGCAAAGACTTGCCAGGAAAAAAACAAGAATTAAGTTCAGACACAAAAATAAGAGCCTAGAATGGAAGAAAAGCTAGACCCTCCCTCATTAACATAACCTGTTCCCTGAAGAAGGAACTCTGTGACTAACATCAGCTTCAAAGGAAACTCAGAAACAGCTGCTTCCTGCACTATGGGGATACCACTGCTCACACCTTTTCTGAGTCTATTTCCCATTGTTTGGAGAGAACCACTCCAGGTCAGGTTGTCCAACAGCCTTTCTCCAATTTCTGTGAGCCACCCCTCTCCAAGACAAAGCCTTCATTCAACCTACAACATTGCTTCCTTCCCTCCTTCCCCAGTAACCCATTCTCCTTTGTACCTGTCCCTGTATCTTTCCTCATTGAGAGCCATCCTCCCCATAGTTTAAAGAATTAGATTTTTCTTTTAAAACCTAATGCAATTAAAAGGAAGATGCACCTGTAGCCATGGAGTCACTAAACCTACCCTTTGCTCCATAGCAAGACTGCAAACAGGTAAGTATTTGGTGGGGAAGAAGATCCGCCAGCCTGCCATTTGTGATGGGGCCACTGAATGACCTTGTGCACAGGGCACATCTCCTATGGCAGCAGATACTGCCTTCCAAGCACATCCCTCAGGAAGGTGACACCACTACTGGGCAAGTCCCCTATGGTAGGAAGCTCCTAGCAGAGGACTACAATTATGGTGGTGCTGTCTCCAGATTTTGCCCCATGTATTAGGAATATGTATATATGTACCTACAGGGGTATTAATCTTTTTTTTTTTAAAAAAGGGTCTTGTACTTCTGGAGTTGTGGAACTGTCATAAAAAAGGGGAAAAGGAGCAGGAGGTTATTTTATTAGTAAGCAGGAAGGGCATGGAAATAGGTCATTTAGAATTCACACACACACCACAGACTATTAAGCACTATGCCCCTGATTAGTTTAGGTGACAGTTAAATAGGTTCAGGAAATGCTCTAGTACTGAGATACTTTGAGAAGTTAGCATGTGAAATTCAAAATTAGTGGTCATGATTGCCTAAGATATAAGACACGGAGTGGTTCATCTCTAATACACTGGCTTGGGTAAGTCACTTCTGTGTCTCAATGCTTTCAAAGGCCATGTGTAGACGAAATGAGGGGGATGTATGGACGACACTTTAAAGTGAGCTAAATGCTTTGGCACTGCTTTAATGGTGTCGACATTTGCACACCTCAGTGGTATATTGCACATTAATTCCAGCTACTGTAGGAAATTCAGTGGTGTAATGTGCCTTAAATGACTTGGGGTGCGGCCCCTACAGCTCTGGAGTGAAGCACTGGGCTCTGTGCGGCTCAGGGGCTCTGCAGCAAGCCCTGCATGGAGCCTGGCAGCAGCCCAGGAAGCCAGGCTCCGCTCAAGAAAAATGGCAAGCCTGATCCTTTTTTTTTTTTCCCTGGAGCCTGCCTGCCTGTCTGAGTTGCATGGGGGCCCAGTGCTTCCCTCTGTGGCTGTGGTGCCCCCTAGAACCGCTTGAGCCGGGTGCCCGTGGGTAGGTGCCGCCTGGGGCGGGGTCCCGCTGCCAGAGAAGGAAGCACCAGTGCCCGCCATAGCCCAGGGGCCACTCCGCCTGCCAGCAACTTGCCCTCTGCTCCCTGCCGCCAGAGAGGCAGGTAAGTCAGCAGGGTGTGTGCACAACACAAGAGTTTAATCAGCCCTAAATTGAAGCAGTGTTTTTAAAAACCCACCACTTCAATTTAGGGCCCCCATTTTGTCTACACATGCCCTATGTCTTCAGACTTTTAGAAACCATTACAGAGAGTGATCTCATACAAAATGTGAATGTTAGTCCTTCTGCACTTACTCAAAAACAAATGTTTTACATTTATTTGGCAGATGACCATCTGCTCTTAAATATTTGGTTTAATGTTCAGTCTGTGTAATTGACATTAATGCAATAAAAACATAAACCTCCAATTGTGCACTGAAAATGTTCCTCTCCCTTTCTAGTCCTCCCAATTACATTTAAAGAGACCAAGTTTTCAAGACTATGGTTTGATGAATTAAAAAGAAAGTGTGCGTGGCTTTGCCCTCCATGTAATTGTGTTCTGATTTGACCCAGTATAAAGGAATCCTAACATAGGTCACAGAATATGCAAAGGTATCCGTACAATAAAATACCAAGGAAAGCTGATGTATTTCTATACACTTGCAAGAATGTATGTGATTATACAATCTTTTTCTTTAAAATATGTGCACTAGCAATTGTTTTTTTTCTCATTTAAGCCTTTAAGAACCACTGGCCTCAATTATGGAGATAGGCAAAGTAGGATTTAGAGAAGGGCCAGATAATTATTTTGGCTGGAGGGCCACTTCATGAGTTTTGGTGAGCTGTTGAGGGCTGCATGGGTAGCCCCACCCCTTGCTGGCTGCCCCACCCCCTGGTCATGATCTTGGGACCAGAAGTCCCACCCTCTAACCCCTGACCTTTGCCACTGGAAGTCCCTCCCCTTGCCCCCAGAACTACTCCTTTTGGGAGGGGGTGTGGCCTTAGAGCTGGAAGTTACACCCTGTCACATGGTCTGTGTCATAAGACCCACCCACCCAACTCCAAACCTCGCCCGCTTGCCATATCTGTCCCAGAATCCCCTGCCCTCTTCACATGATCCCTGACACCAGAAGGTCTACCTCTTAAAACATTGCCCCACCACAGGGCCTACATTCACAGTGCATGGCCTGCTCCCGGGGCCCCAAGAGTTCTGCCCTCTGGGCCACAAGGCACAGGCACAACTTGTCAAATAGCAAGGGGTTGTGACCGACCCCTCTAACATCCTGCTCCATTGGTAGGGTTTCAGGGGCATCAGACCTCCCCCCGAACAGAGCCAAACCAATAAAGTCAAGGACTGCACACACAAAACCTTTCAGAACAAATCATTTTAACAAAGCATATATAAAGTATCATGTACTAAAAATCAAACATCTACAATAACAGGTTTTATTTAAAAAAAAAATGTAGTGGTGATTAACTTAACATAACTTAATCCAGCCCACCCCATCTGGCCCCATGGAGCAGCAAAAGCTGGCCAACCCCACCCCTTTCCCTTATCGGTGCTGGCATGACCCGGCCCATCCCAGCCTCCTCCATGTGGCACAGCAGAAGTGAGCCCAGGCCCAGGTTCCCCTCACTGGCACTGGAGGATCCGCCCCATCCTGAGCGGCATGCGGCTCAGCCACAGCTTCCCCTCCCCAGCGCGGGCCCAGCCTGGCCTGAGCAGCATGCAGCTCAGCTGGCTCAGCCTCAGCTTTCCCTCCCTAATGCCAGCCCAGCCAGGCTCGTCCTGTACCAAGTGGCACATGGCCGACACCAGCCCAGCCACTGCTTTTCCTCCCCAGTGCTGGCCCGAGCGGCATGCAGTGAAACCCGCCTGGCCGCCCCTTTCCCTTACCTGCATGGCAGGATCCTCTCCAGTTGCGCAGCAAGGCAGAAGCTGGCCCCAAAGCTGACCCAGGTACCCCTTCCCCTCACTGGCGCCACAGGATCTGGCTCAGCCCCTCATGCCCATCTCAAGCTGCAGACCAGGCCTGAGCTAAGGGCTGGGTGAGGCCAGCTGAGTCAGGCTGAGGTCAAAGTTGGTTGACTGGCAACCAAAACCCAAGGAAACAGCCTGAGGTGCCCAGAGCTGGTGGCTTATGCCACCAGCAGCTGCTGGCGGCTTCCAGGCAGGCAGCCACCATTACCTGAGTTTTGAAGGGGCTCCGCAGGCTGGATGGAAGCGCCTGGCGGGCCAGATGCAGCCTGTGGGCTGTATTTTGCCCACCCCTGATTTAGACTTTCATTTTTATCACTTGAAGACCATGATGAAGGAGTTATAACATGAAAATGCAAAGCTTGCAAATTTGCTGAGCATTTCTTCTCATTGTTCACTCTTGAGGTTACTTCTTTTTGGAAAAGAGAGAAAATGCACTATGTTCTGTGAAGTCAGACACATCACATGCAAGGAAAGCAAATTAATGACCAAAAGGAGAACTAGGCCTAAATTATACAAAGCCACACACTCTCAAGGCAAAGAGCTCTCACATAATTAACAGGTTTAGTTTTTGTTTTTAAAAACTAGCAGGTTTAAAAATATACATTGCTATGGTAATTTTTCAAACAAGTTAGAAACTTAGGGTTCAGCTCTTTACCTTAACAAGTTAACGTATTACAAGCCTTACTCTAAAACAGGTTTTACCACTACAAAAAACTAGCTTACATGCACTAGGGTTCAGATTTGCCTGTTGACTATTAATTTTTCTTCCAAAAACATTAATTATAGCTTATTTTAATTAAGCCTATATTTAAGTCAAACCAAAATGTGCATGCAGAAGATAGCTTTGGATTCATTTTTTACTATTAACAATCCCAACTCCATATGCACTAGATTTCAGATTTGCCTTGTGACTCTTACTTTTTCCTCTAAGAATTAATTATATGCTATTTTAATTAAACCTATCTTTAAGTACAACAATGATGTGTAGACAAAGATAGCTGTGGGTTACATTTTCTGTAATATTTCTCTGTCGTACTTCGGTTTGGTGTATCTCCTGGTTGAAGAATGGCATAAATAGTTATTACAGGGAGCACAGGACTTCTAACTTTTTTTTCTTATTACTATTATAAAGGAATATAAAGGTCTCTTGCACTAAGCTATATGAATGCAACAACTTGTGCCACCAAACATTCCCTAGAGAAATAATCAGTTTGGTAATACTGGGCTTTATCATAATTGAAAACGAAAACAACGTATGCAGGAAACCATAAAACCCTTCAAGCTAACTGTAGTCAACGGTAAATCTCATTAGGATATAATAGGCATATTGTGGCAGTCTAAATGCTCTGAGTTCATGGTCTGACTGAATTCCATTTCTGGCACTAGGAAGTCTCTGCAATTTAATCTTACTTCCACCCCCATACATCCTTTTCTCCATACTCTTCCCTGTCTAATCTCAAAAGCAAGTATATTTATAACTACACCATATTAGCCCTGCAAGATGCTTACAATGGTGAGGTTTTATGTACACACATTTATTACTACTGTAATTGCCACTCTTCCCTATGCTGCCACCCACACAAGGATGCAGTCCTCCCTATTAAACTCCATTGATAAGGATGCGTAGGAGTCATCTGGGTAGCAAATGCTGGAGAAACTATACCGATGCTCCCATAGGGAAATGGTTATTTTTAAACACTATTACCAAATGAGAGAAACTATAAATATGATGTGTGTGGAGGAGGCTAAGTAAAATTCTCCAGTGCAATTGATTGTAGAGCTCCATATCAGAAACATTATATAGGAGTTGATTAGTGCAGAGCTGTGCTAAAAATGAAACCCTGATACATGAGGTTCCCAAGAGAAAGCCAAATAAAAGATTGGTTCCCCCCATTTCCAAGAAATGAATGCTTATGGACTAAACCCAACTGTAAATTAACAGCTGGGTAGAAACCGTGCGTGAGTGTGTGTGTGTGTGTGTGTGTGTACATATGCACACACTTGCAAGCTTTGTGCCTTCATTCACACCCATACACTTGCAAGCTTTGTACTTTCATATATATTATAGGTGTATATCATACACTTATGGGTAAGGTGGGATAAACTGATGTCAAATGTAGGTGGAGGAATCTGTGTTCCCTGCGCTTTTGCACACTCAGCATAACACAAGCTAAAAAAAGGTGCTGATGTGTCCTTTCCTTCCTAGTTTCAGAAGAACTGAATAGTACACTGATTAATATTTTCATTGAGTGTGTGTGTACATATACACACACTTGCAAGCTTTGCACTTTCACAGACACACACACTTGGAAGCTTTGCACCTTCATATATATAATAGGTATGTGTGTATATGCATATATGTGTGAGTATATATCCATGTATACATACATACTACCTGCATATATACATACACATCTATGCACTTGCAAGCTCTGCACTTTCATATATGTGTATGTATGTGTGCATACACATATACACGCTTGCAAGCTTTGCGCTTTCATATATGTATGTATACCCATGTGTATATATACACATATGCATATGTACACACATGCATACATACATTTGCTAGCTTTGTGCAAGCTTTCCTGTATAATGTGTGTGTGTGTGTGTGTGTGTGTGTGTGTGTGTGTGTGTGTGAGACTTCCTATGACTCATAAGACTTCCTAGTCTCATAGGAAGTCGTACACCCACCCCAAATCTTGCAAGTGTGTGTTTATGTATATATACACATATATTGTATGTATGAAAGCGCAAAGCTTGCAAGTGTATATGTATATATGCATGTGCTTTCCTATATACATACAAACATATATATATGTATATAGGAAAGCACAAAGGTTGCGAGTGTATGTGTGTGTATGTATATATGCATGTATACATACATACACACACCTATTATATATATGACAGTGCAAAGCTTCCAAGTGTATGGGAATAAAAGTGCACAACTTGCAACTGTGTCCATATGTATACACACGCACACGAAAATTAGTGTACCATGCAGTTCTTCTGAAGCTAGGAGGGAAAGGACACATCAGCATCTTTTTTTAGCCTGTGCTATGCTGAGTGTGCAAAAGTGCAGAAACATAGACCACGCAGAGCAGGTATCCAGAACAACAGGCATTTCCAATACCAAGCAGGTAAATTATAGACTCCCCCCAACTCCTAATCATTTGAGACAAGCTTCTCCTCTGCCTGCCCTCCAGCCCTGCACTGGAACACTGGCTCTGGCTGCGGATCAGCCCTCCCAGGCTCGCAACCCTCCCCCTCACGCATTCCCCGGCCCAGTCGTGCTCAGGTTTGCCAGCGCTTTGCATGAGAAAGAGTTCATTCAGCGCCGCCAAAGGCTGCTGCAACAGCCCGGGCGGCAGAGCGCTGGAGCCGGCTTGTCACGGTGCTGATCTACCCCCTTCCACCCCCCTCCCTCCCCCCTGGATTCAGACGATTAAAATAAAAGCCGGCACAAAGAGGCGCGTCCCATCCCTGGGTGCCAGGCCAGCCCCGCGAGCTCTGAAAGCGAGGTGCCTCCACTGCAGACAAAGCACGTGGAGAAAAACCGATCATCCAAGCGGAAAAGCCCTCCCCAGCTCCCAGGCTCTTTAGGGCCCTGCCCTAGAAAGGTCACGGCCCAGCTGCTGTTTGCAGCCTCCTTGCCAGGCTTCCAGGCATCCAAGGGCCGCGTGAATAAATCCCCCCGCAGGCTGATCAGGAGCCGAGCGCGGAATAAAAAGCCTCCTCGAGTGCCAAGCGCCCGGGGCTGGAGGCGGGCTGGGAGGGCACGAGACAGGGAGACAGTGTTGCAAAGACACTGTGCATTCAGTGCAACCCACCCTCCCCCGGCCCAAGAAGCCCTCGCGCTCCTCTATGGTGGGAGTAGTTCAAGCTGGCAAGACATGGGCTTGCCAAAAGAGACACTGCAAGGGAAGCGGGGTGGCTTTGAAGGCAGTGGCGTGTCTCTCTCTCACCCCCACGTCCCGCCTCGGGGCTTGGAAGGCCCCGCGTCTTCTTCTCTGGAGGGCAGCCAAAGCAACCCCCCTCGGCGCCCGGGCTACCGGCGGGGGCCTCCTTCCGCTCCAGCTGCAAGGTACGTGTCCTTGATCTTGCCACCCCCCGCACATACAGCACACCGCCCCCAGGGAGACTGAAAGCACTGGCTCCTCTCTCTCACACACTCCACGGTGGATTTGAAGGCACTGCCTCATCACACATACACACACAGGGCAGGGGATGGACACACACACGAGCACTTCTCTCTCTCCCACCCCCCAAACACCCCAGGGTGGATTTGAAGGCACTGGCCTGTCACACATACACACTTTATCTCACGCACATACAAATACCCCGGGTGGATTTGAAGGCACTGGCCTGGCCCGTGCGTTCACACACACACACACACACACACACACACACACACACACACACACACATGCTTCTTTCTCTCACACACACCTGTCATACATACACACACAGGGTGGGGGACACACCCTTCTCTTTTACACATACACATATGCAGGGCAGGACAAGGGACACACACACACTTCTCTTGCTCGCACACACAAACACCCCAGGGTGGATTTGAAGGCACTGCCTTGTCATGCACGCTTCTCTCTCTTACACGCACGCACATGCAGGACAGGGGACACACACACACACACGGTGGATTTGAACTGGCACTGGCTTGTCACACATGCACACACACTTCTCTCTCTCTTACATGCAAACACCGCAGGGAAGGCACTGGTTTGTCACACACATACAGTTCTCTCACCCCCCTCCCCTCTCTTACTTACAAACACCCCAGGGAAGGCACTGGCTTGTCACACACACACACACACACACACACGCGCGCGCGCGCGCGTGCTTCTCTCTCTTACCCACACACACCCCAGGGAAGGCACTGGCTTGTCTCACATGCATGCTTCTCTCTCATCTCTCTCCCCACCCCCACCGTGGATTTGAAGGCAGTCACACTCACACACACACACACACACACACACACAGTAGATTTGAAGGTACTGGCTTGTCACAAACTTCTGTCTCGTACACACACACACCACACCCACACCCACACCCACACACACACGGGTGCTTCTCTCTCTCTCTTACCCACACACACCCCAGGGAAGGCACTGGCTTGTCTCACACACATGCTTCGCTCTCATCTCTCTTCCCCGCTCTGGATTTGAAGGCAGTCACACACACACGCGGTGGATTTGAAGGCCCCGGTTTGCGACACACACACACACGCCGCGCCCCGCCGAGCCCAGCTCGTCTCCAACCCCGCGGCGGCAGAAAAGTTGCCGGGCCAGTTTGCAGCCGCCCTCCCCTCCCCCGGGGCTCTCGGCAGCTGCGCAAATTTTCCCTCCCCTCCCCCGGCTCGGGCACGGGGCCCTGGGGCACGGCCCGCTCCTCCCCTCCCCACCCCCGGCCCGCGGGGCCTTGCTATGCACCCCCGCCGGGAGCAGCTGGCTCCGGACGGGGGCAAGGCTGGGTTTTTCCAGTCCCGAGGTCAAGCAGCGACGACGCCCGGTGCATGCGGCCTCCTCCCATTCCGGGAGCAGCGCTTTGCTTTCCGTCCCCTCCCCTCCCCCTTCCCACTGCCGGCGCCCGGCTCGCGGCTCCCGGCCCGGGGGTGGGGGCAGGAGGATTCCTCGAGAGCAAAGCAGCGGCGTCCAGACTTGGCTCTGCCCAGCCCCTGCGCGTGTGTATGTGCGCGCGCGCGTGTGTGTGTGTGTGCAGGCGAGCTGCTTTTCCAGGCACGGCTGCAAGGCACTGGCACAACCCGCTTGCTGGAGGGCAGGGCGATCTCTGGCAAGGATGACAAAGCCAGCCCCTTGAGTAGGGTTCAGTTCCAGCTGATTTTATTTCCTTCCCGAAAAAAAAAACCAACCCCCCCAAAAACAAACAAACCCCAAAACAAAGAGGTTATTTACAGGTATATCAACAATCTGACAGGCAGTGAACTTGACATGATTAGCTGGCATGATTCAAAAATTTTGCTTGTTTTTTTAAATTATTATTCCTTCTCCCCTCCTTTCTTCTGCTTTCCCG